CTCTTGTGATACTCTAATCAAGTGATGGGATTTGGGCGTCACTCTTAAAACGCACCCACGGCCACAGAGTACGGAGGGCGATTTTTCACGCTAACCATTGGGCCACGCCCGACCTCACGGGAAAACAATGGTTCGGACTAAGTGGATAGAGGGAACATAATGAAGATCGAAAGGCTTAGAGAGGTGATACTGACTGAGGCTTTTTAGTGCTACTAAACTTGCCTGGACACCGTGATTTGTTATCTCTCATGGCAAGATAGAAGAAAAACAAAACCTCGATCACAATGGAGAATCAAATATGATTTTAAAATATCACACATCAGTTTATTATGAAACGATAGAATGGAAAATTCTTTGGAGAAATAAAACTGAAATGAAGAGGGATTTGAGCCTATGGAAAAAAAATGGTATTCTTACTAACTATTAAGCTTCAGTCTATTTCGAATTACATCTTAGGAAACCAGTGAAGTGAAGACTTGACATACAATCTACTGAAAGCAGTGTCTTTTGCATAGACATATCACTTACCAAAATTCCATAAAATTTCCACTGACTTAAGTTTGAAAAAAATATGGGTCAGGAAATTAGGATCTTTAAGTCTATACGATGAATGATTTTATGCATCTAGAAGACGCTTACCAAAATATTCCAACGTAAGAGTAGCATAATCCTGTTGTGTTTACACGCGCGTTATCAATACAACATTTTTTACTAAAATTGCACGAACGTATCCATTTTGTTTTTGTACATCGGTATCGCCATCTGTAGTATGCATTGTGCAACTTTTTTTTTTTTTGCTACTGACATAATGTTTAAGATATAATTTGATATAACAGCAAAGGTGAAGGACGTTACGAGAAGCAAGTAAAACATTTGCGTTACCTTTTACGTTTATATAGCTTACGCAAGATATCAACTAGAAGTTGAGTGTTATACTGAGAAACATACACCTACATAAGACTGACTCTTTTTTTTTTTCATGGCACATCACCTAGGTGCTTACTAATGCTGGGTAAAAATCGATAATTAGAAAGTCCAACAAAATATAACTGTCTTTCTGTCATCTATCTATCAGCAATTAATTGATAAAGATTTTCATTTACGCAGAAAACTACTCATTCATCCGTACTGTGTTTAGTGTACGGAGTGTCGGCGTTTACCTTGTGAAGGAGTGACTTACGAGTCGTATATTCCGCAATCTGACTAGATTTAAAAGTCGGCGTTTACCTTGTAAAGGAGTGACTTACGAGTCGTATATTCCGTAATCTGACTAGACTTAAAACACCTGTGTGAATTTTTACTGGACTCTTCTTCTGAGTCTTGACCTAGTCATTTTTGAAGTACAGCGGTTGGACAGAATGTAGATGTGTCCTTTTTTTTTTACTTCTGATGATAATTGGACTAGGTCCTCAGCTGACGGGTTACTTTTTTATTACAATAACCTGTACCATTTAAACATATGTAAGCCTAATTCCACAGTAGTTGTCAAACGAAGTGTATAGAAAAGAAGAGGACTGATGGTGGGTGTCATATTAATAGGTGCTTTAATGACCAACACTGCACAACTTCTTGGCTTTGCATTAGGAACCACAACAAATGTCATTAAGTAAATGTAGCAGTAAAATAATTGAAGCAGTTTTAACAGCCAAAGGTATAATTACACGTTATGACGACGCTTCCATTGGGTGCTCCAATTATTTTTCGTCCAATTCTTGTAGTTGTTATCCTTTTGTTCGTATACTTGTTTGTTTTTATTTTCTTTCTGCGTAAAGAAGCCAAGTTTTGAAACATTAATGATACCATTCTAAGTTATGTTTGTTTTATTTTCTTTCTACGTAAAGAAGCCAAGTTTCGAAACATTAGTGATAACATTCTAAGTTATGTTTGTTTCTATTTTCTTTCTGCGTAAAGAAGCCAAGTTTTGAAACATTAATGATACCATTCTAAGTTATGTTTGTTTTTATTTTCTTTCTGCGTAAAGAAGCCAAGTTTTGAAACATTAGCGATACCATTCTAAGTTTGTTTCTCCTTTCATATTGAGTTATCTGAGATAAATGCTGGAAAAAGAGGTTCCTTTTTTTCGTGGTTGGTTGATTTTTAACCCTCAAATTACTCATTTTTGGGTTCATGTGGACTCTAACAATAATTAGTATGATTAACTGCAATATTGATCGTATTTTTTAAAAACATAATTTTAGTGTGGCTGAGGTGGTATTAAGGATATTGTAGCAAATACTGTACCCACCGGTAATTCTAGGATAAATGTATACATTTCATTGGCATAAATGTTTTTTTTACTTGCATATATTTCTTTTTATTTTCTTCAAAGTTTTGTATTTATGGATTGAAACTGTGTTTTTAAGAGAAGTGTAGATGGATGTTCTGTCACAAACAGCTGTTCGCAACTTCACTGGTCCGGCATTATTCTAAATGCACGAGGTTTTTGTTTTACACGTGCTCTATACCTACCTAGCTAAAGATGAATTTTCCTTATAAACCACCGCAAATCAAGCACTATTTGTGTTTGATACCATATTTCCGTGTGGGCAAAAGTTCAAACAAATTATAACGAATTCACTCAATAGTTCTTTTTTTTTTAAGTTCCTGAACTCTGAACGGAGCCAAATACTTCGTCGACTAATTGGCGTTGCGCATGAATGAATTAATGGGATCCCCTATGTTGCATGTAATATCTAGCCAGACCGCAGCCAAGGAAACGAACGAGAAAGCAGCTAGAAACGCAATCCTTGCGATCGCTCTCCGCTTTGCTTCACTGAGTCTCTAGTATATCTGGTAGGTTTGATTTTTGTGTAATTCTGCGACTGAGCTCGGCCAGGCTTTTCCATATATAAACGGAGGAAAGAAGAACAGCTGGAACAGTCGTCACGTGAACATACCTTACACATCCAAAGCAATAAACGCTATAGTTGCTGTTTATTCATCAAACACAGAGGAGAATCTTGGGTCAGGGGATTGTGTACGTGCAAATTTAATTTAGCTTAAATCACTGTATTTTTGTCTGTGGTGATTTTTAAGTAGATATAAATTATTTCTTTTTAACGTATAATTTAACTATTAACAGAACGATATCTATTATTTAACGCAGAATTAAATAACTGGTTAAAAATAGTTTAAATGTGACTGTAGGTATTTATAATACACCTAAGCAGAGTTGCCTGCTTGCCTATCTGTCTGGTGTCACAAGGTTATTGTGAGAAAGTGGCTGAACAAGTGGGTTGAGGAACCCACTTGAACTCTGCGAAGATCCGATTTAAATAGACAAGAAATCGGACGAACAGTTCGAGTTGGCAAGTATTTCAATCTTTAGCGCATTGTAAAGAGAAAATTGTGTTTATTGTTTGATTTTAAGCACAAAGCCACACAAGGCTGTCTGTGCTCTTCCAACCGAAACCCGAATTCTAGTAATACAGACTGGTTATTTTAGTGTTAGTTCTGAGCCACTAGAGGATGCTAGGACTCATGTGACGAAAAGGACTTTAGCAAAAAACGTAAAGTCGAAGCCGAACGAAGGTAACGTTTAATGCATCAGACGAACGGTTCATGCTCTATGGCAGAAAATAGTTTGCAGCATAACTTTTTAAGACCAGCGTTGTTGAGTATCTTTGCTAGTCCTGCATGAAGTAAATTGTATAAAGATATGGTATACAGTGACTGATTCTCTCATATAGATTTCAGAAACAAAGTTGGTGCACAATGAGCTTTTCCAGAATCTTTAGTATCATAGACTAATAAAGTAAAGCAGGTACGAATATTGGTATGTAACAATATGACTGTTTGAGTTAAGATTTTACATGTGGAACATGTTTAAAGTCTCAGATATTTAGCCAAATGCCTTATACGTTGAAATTTATTAGTAACGTTATTACTTTAAAAAATATTTTATAAACCCCACTAATGATCAACTAAAACTAGTTTCAGGCCAGAATTTAAGTACAGTTGTATTAATGTAGGTTACTTTTAAATATTACAAAACATTGTTGTAACTGGATTAATGCGTTACAATACGGTAAGTGTCTAGGTAATGTGGTAAGAGAACACTACATAAGAATGCCACGAGTGTCCGAGTAAAGTGATAAGTGGAACATTACATTGGCATTTGGCGAATATCTGAGTTTAATGGTAAATGGAAAATACATTGCAATCAGTAATGTGTGTAGGTTTAATAGTATGTGGAAAATACATTGTGAAATTTTCAGTGTATGAGCTTAATGGTAAGTGGAACACTACATTGGAATCAATAATGTGCCTTAAGTGGATTACATTGTAATCCTTTAAGCGGCCAGTGTTTAATTAATGGTAAGTGGAACGCTACGTCCATACCTCGCAAGAGTTGTAGACGGAAGTATACGTATAGTGATATCGTAGAAACATAAAGTTCATAACTTTTAAAAGTAAGAAACTAGTTACTTTGACAAATGGTACCATATTTTGAAAATTTGTAAATTCAGTAGGTCTTGTGAACTAGTTACTCAGTTTATTATTACTACTTGCTCTACTGTAAAAATGTACTTATTTTTTTATATAAAGTAGTATGTGGAACTGACGTCAATGGCAAGAGGATACATCAGGGTTAAAGAGTGAAGGCTGTTTATGACGAGTGGAAAATAATTTAAAGATTCGACAGTGGGTGAGAAAATTTAGAAGTTAATTCTTATTCCGGATGCTGAAGCAACTGCCTATGACACCTATAAGGGAATGTTGCCAAAGTTTAGATATATAAAATCGCTTTGTTTGTGTGGAAACAATATAACAGCAGTAGTCGACAAAGATATTGGCAGTCACGTGACTGCTACATGCTTCTTCTCTATAAGGGAAATTACGACGAACGATTTTGTTGAATATCCAAGACCAGTGACTGTGTTTGGCTACCACAAAGGTACAGTCACCAGTAAGCCTTGCTATGCGACGTCGTAACAACCTCCTGACCAATGGTAATTTGAATATATACTAAATAACCATCTCATGATATACTAACAAGTATGGACGTTATCGGCGGGAAGGTGGACGAAATTTTTGAAATGTCCATTGTCCCTGAAAAGCCACTGACATCAGACAATCGATTATCTCCATGTCATGCAACCCTGCCGATACCAATATGTGGTAAGTTTTTCTTTCTATTCTTTAAATATTTATCTGGTGTAATTTGAATCAGTTTCGACCTGAAATGTTGATTTTCTTTTTTGTTCTATATGTTGTTGTGTATTTCGTGTTTTATGCAGCTGTACTTAAGGTAGTCGCCCCACCTCCGTATCTGAAGAGTGTGCTGTATTAAAAATACGTCTTTGATAACTGCTAGCTTTATTAAAAGGGAAATACGTCAAAACAAGAATAATTTGTTTGTTATGCACAAGTCTTCTGGATTGAACATTTTATGGTGTATATGTATACCCCACTTTAATAGCTGGATTACCTAAGAATTTCAAATTTTTCATATTTGCACCGTGATCAATCAATTGTTGATGATTACATGAAAGCAGCAGACTGCTTATCAAGTAGCTAATTATGCTACCTGATGATTTTAAAGAAGGAATCTGCTGATCAAGTAATTTTTGACATTAAGTGATGATCTGAAAGCAGCAGATTATTGATCAACTAGTTGTTGATGTTACATGATGTTCTGAAAGAAGATGGCTGATTAAGTGACTACAGGTGTAAAATGATGATATGAAAAAAGCGGATTTTGCTGTGGCATTAAACAGTGTAAAAACAAAATAATGTAAATAAGTAGGAGTTGCAAATGGGCTGATTAGATTTTAATATTCGCTTTTTGAAATGCCATTTTTCAACAGAACTTAAATTGTATAGCTATTAATCACCAATGTATTGTTCTTAGTCGAGTTCAGGCTTAAAAAACATCAAACACATAAAATCAGCAAAGTGTGTAAAAGAAAGTTTTCGAGGTTAAATAAGAACAAGCATTATGGTCATATTATAGTACAGTGTCCAGAATTATCCTGAGAAATATATTTTACAAAGTTCCGTATCTAGTGTTATACCTTGGTCTTCGGGACCACTTGTGAATTTGGAGAATATAATAAAAGCCCAGCAATATATTAATACAGTTCTAGAAATGATACTAGTGTTGTTACTGGTACTTGCAATCTGAATGACAGATGGACTTACTAGCCAGGTCATTTCCTCCTAAGGCTAAGGTTCAGGTATAATCGTCCCTAGTTTAGGAATGTTGACTAGAGGGAGAGAGCTACCAGTAAACATCACCTATTCTACTCGACAACTCTTGTTTATTCGTTTCTTTAAGACACAAGGCTTCACAATGGGCTATCTGTTCTGTACCTACTATAGAGATCGAACCCCAAATTCGAACGTTATAAGTCCTCAAGGTTGCCGTTGAACCACCAGAGAGAAAGGCTTCTCTTAACCGAATAGCGGGACTGACTATAAATATAGATCTTGAAGTGGAATTAATACAATAATATCGATATATAAATATAGCCGAATAGAGGAGGCTTTATTATAACAAAATGAGTATATAAATTTCACTGTAGAGACGTCTCTAATATATGAAAATCAATATATAAACATAGTTGTAGAGGCGTCTTTAATATAAGAAAATCAACATAGAAATATAGCTGTGGAGGCGGCTTTAACATAAGAAAATCGATATATAAATATAACTGTAGAGGTGTGTTTATTATAACAAAGTCGATATATAAACATAGCTGTGGAGGCGGCTTTAATATAAGTGATCGATATATAAATATAGCTGTAGAGGCATATTTAATATAAGTAAACCGATACATAAATGCTATAAAGGCGCATTTATTATAACAAAAACGATACATAAATATAGCTGTAGAGGCATGTTTAACACACACCCCCCCCCACACACATATATATATATATATATAAGAAATCGATACGTAAATATACCTCTTGAGATGTCTTTAATATAAGAAAATTGATATATAAATATAGCTGAAGAGGCAATAATAAAACAAAACACGAACGTAATAACATCATAATCCCATCATCAGTAATCTAGAAGTACAAAACAAACAAACAATATTTGTAATTACAACAGAAATATATATATAAGAAATAAACAAATCGAATATACAAATATAACATGAGAAAGTAAAAACTGAGGCACAAGTGAAATAGTTAAAATAGGTTTAAATCCAGTAAAGACTGTGTATTATTTAGGGATGAAAG